TGAAAGAATCCATTAAACTAAAACCTCTAATGTCATTTTACTTTTTCCATAGTAACGAAAATGAAAAGTGTTATTTCATAGAATTTATGTATGTAATAATAGGATGTGACTATATGCAGTAACAATGCTTAAATTTTTCAAAGAAACAATCAATTTACAAAGATTAAAGTAAAACAAGTGTAGGTGCAATTAGGCTAGGGCTGCAAACGAATCGAGCCGCTCGCGAGCCGCTCGAGTCAAGCTCGAGTCGAGCTCGAGATTAATCGATCTCGAGTCGAGCTCGAGCCGGCTCGAGTCAAACTCGAGCTCGAACTCGAGCTCAGAATATTAAGCTCGTTAGCTCGTGAGCCGGCTCGCGAGCTTGAGTATATATATATATATATATTTTATTTTTATTTTTATTTAATAATAAAATTATGTATATTATATCTATATTTTTTTTATTTTTTATTTTCATAGTGAAATTACGTATATATCCTTAATATTTTATTATTTATTAAGAAAAAATATTATTTTATTTATTTTTTTAAAAATAAAATAATTATTTTTTTATTTTTTTCGAGCTCGAGCTCGAAAATTGCTGGCTCGTCGAGCTCGAGCTTGGTAAAATTTAGTCGAGGCTCGGCTCGATTAGCTCAAAGCTCGACTCGACTCGGCTCGTTTGCAGCCCTAGGGGTGGCAATCGGGTCGGTTTGAGTTCTAAGTATAACAAAAAACTGACCTGAACCTGACCCGTCAATCCGAAACGGGTCAGGATACTTGACACGAACCCGAAAATTTCGGGTTGGTGGGTCAACTCGAAATGACCTGAAACTTAATTTTAATTTATTAATTTATCACTGTAATTTCTAATCAAATCAATTTCTCACAAAATTAATTACATCATCAAGTAATAAAAATTTAAATAAATAATTTCAAACCAAATCTAAAATAAATTAAATACCGTAAAAGTGTTTTATCCCAAACCAAATATAAAATAAATTAAAACAGTATAAAAGTAAAAAATAACATAATGTATTATTTATCCAAATATAATAATTTCAACTTCACACAAGTTAAATAAATTCATTTAGGATTAAGTAATTAATACCTTTGAAAAAAAGAATGATTTAGTTTAGTTAGATAAAATAATTTTTATGTTTATTAAATTATTTTTAATTCGTAAACGGGTTATATCAGGTCACCACGGGTTGATCCGAAAATGACCTGTTTTCTTTTCAGGTTCGACCCAATTCTGACCCGAACCCCCAAAACCTCAACCCAAACCCATTAATTTCGTATTAGATTCATATCGTGTTTTCGAGTCGTATCAGGAATTGCCACCCCTAGGTGCAGTAAATCAAGTTAAATTTTTACGCTTTTGCAGTATAGGTGCAGGGACTCTTTGCCAATGGAGTGGTCCTTCTCAACTCCAATATGAGGAGTATGAAATAGTCCAAAAATAATAAACTTGTCAATGAAAACTTCTTCACTCTACTAAACACAAGATGACTTTATGATAATCCAGCATTTTCTCTTTTACCTTGCTGTTCTTTTGTTTCTTACTCTGTTTGAATGCGTACAAAATTTTGATCAACTCCAATTAATGTGCTTGTAATGACTAGGGAAACTAAGACAGACTCATATTTGTAATACAAACCAAAAACAGAAAATGTTTCAAGAATGCATTTCGCTGTAATCCTGAGAGATTGCCATATCAAATTTCCCTAATAAAATGTTGATGACAGAGTCAACTAATTTTTATCTTTTTTTTTTTTGTCAGCAACGATACATTTGTATAACCTACTCTATTTTAATCTAGGGGAAGGGGAAGCCTAAGGAGGCTGTGGTAGGGACTAGTGGGTATACAGACCCAACTAGATCAAGAAAGTATTATGGCACAATTCTTAGATATTTTTCGCTGCTGGTGAGATTTGAACCCTCACCAACAGCCTAAGGGAGGGACTTGCCCAAGGAGGGACTTAAGTCCCTCCCTGTAGCCACTGAGCCATTGGCCCAGTGGTTGAGTCAACTAATTTTTATCAATTTCCTCCATTTGTAATTAGTTCAAGATAAATTTGGATTTTGGGTGAAGCCAATTTGACCCAATACGTGCCTAGCTCCAATTCCACATAGTTGAATAATTGATTATCATTGCCTGGGGTCCACCTTGATGCCAATTCCACCTACTTGAATGGTTGGTTGTCTCAATACTCTTCTTCACCTTCTCACCAGAAACAAATAAGCAATTTTCAGGAAAGAAATACTTTGCTAGCTCTGCAGTTAGTGAGATTTGTCTCTCTCTTAAAATTTGAGAGTGAAACTGACGAAAATCCCTCCAAAAGAGATGGAGATGGCCTCCACTTGCAGCATCGATCGGGTCTTACTTGATCTAGAGTCGCTCCTGAACAGCTTCCAAGACCGGTATGTTCCTGACGGTGTTCTTGCTGCAATCGAACGCATGAAATTTCTCAAAACATTTGTTATGTGTGCAAGAAAGTGGAGCCAAAGCAACGATCTGTACTTGGAATCTGACAATGTTGTGAAGAAGGTGAGTCTTCCATCTTTCTTATCTTGCATCGAAGATACCTTTCACAAATATGAGGAGGATATTCACTCTCTTTCCCATAGATCAGAAACGGACGAATATGGAATGTTCTTCGAAATTGAGGAACAGATCAAATTACTTAAGCAAGAAATCATCCAAATTTACTTTGCTTTGGCAAGCAGCAGGTCATTGCAATCAAATTCTTGTATGACAGATGATGAACTAATGGAATTCATAGACCTCATCCTGCAAAATCTAGCAGATTTGACAAATGACTATATGCATCCGCAAATTAGTGAATCGTTTGTTTATGCTATTTTGAGTGCTCAAGTCCAAGCCCTTGAAGCAAAGCTAACATTCTTGAAAAGCTTCATTCCCTTTGCCAAATTGCGAGGAACTGCAGATATTCCTACCTCGCTATTGGCTCACTTTGAAGTGGTGGCTTTGAACGCAGCACGCCTCTCTTACATGTGTTCTTTTCGGGAAGATGAGGATCTGCACAATCTTGACTTGTGCTGCATGGTATATGAGCAACAACAGAAAATCACACCTATAGATTTTCAAGTCTATGAGATTTTTATGGAAGTTCTTAGAGCTACAAGATCCTCAAAATCATTGCATGATAGAATGATGGATAAGCAGATATTAAACAACTTCAATGATTCTCTCATAAGTTGTCTCTGGGAGCTGTTATGCTGCAGCTCTAGCTTTATGGATTCTATGAAAGATGAAATGCGAATACTCTATGCAGGACTGAGGTTTTTGAGAAGCATTTTAAGGGAGCAGCAGGAGAAAATGGATGAACAAAACGAAAAAATTGGTTCACTTCTTAGTGAGGCAGGCATTATAATTTGCTCGCCTTCTCTAAACAGAGTGAAAGGAGGAGAAGTTAGCTTCTCAGAGTCCACAGATGCCCTTGACTGTTATGATATGCTGGCTAATACCAACATCCATATCGAACATTTTAAGGATCAGATCAGTGGCTCAAGCATTATTGAAACTATTCCTTCCTTTCATAGCTTAAGAGCACCAGAAGTTAGCAAGACTTCCCACCGCATGCTATCAAAAGGTCAAATGCCAATAACCCATGAAGTCATGGTTGGTCTTGATGATGATGCAGCAAAAGTAATTGAACGACTTATATGGGGAGCGGATCAGGTGGAAATTGTTCCCATTGTGGGAATGGCTGGGCTTGGTAAGACGACTTTAGCCAAAAAAGTTTACAATGATAGTTCAGTAATCTGTAACTTCCACATTCGTCTTTGGTGTACTGTTTCTCAAGCCTACAACATGAAAAATGTGTTACTTCAAATTTTGTGCTCTGATGGCAAACATTCCAGGAAGGATGATAAGTTAAAAAATCTGGATGAACATGCGTTGCTGGAAAAGCTCTACAAAAAGCTAAAGGAGAATCGGTATCTTGTTGTTTTTGATGATGTCTGGGACATTAAGGTATGGAATGAGCTGGGAATTTCATTGCCGGATGATAAGAAAGGAAGTAGAATCATCTTCACGAGTCGATCTTCTAATGTGGCTTTACAGGTTGAATATGGGGGGAAACCTCACTATCTTCACCCGCTTAGTGAGAAAGAAAGTTTTGAATTACTGCAGAAGAAGGTATTTGGAGAAGAAGATTGTCCTCAAGCATTGCATGGATTGGGAATGGAGATTGCCAAAAAGTGCAGGGGATTGCCACTTGCACTTGTTGTTGTAGCTGGAGTACTAGCAACCATAGAGCATGATATTTGTGTTTGGGAAAAATTTGCTGAAAGTTTCACTTCAACCACGGTGGCTGATGCAGAACAATGCAAAAAGTCGATGGAGCTCAGTTATGGGCATTTACCATATCACTTGAAGGCATGCTTGCTGTATTTTGCTGCATTTCGAGAGGATGAAAAAATTGGTGCCAAGGAGTTGATGTGTCTCTGGGTTGCAGAAGGGTTTGTGGAAATAATTGAAGGAAAGAGATCAGAGGATATTGCAGAAGAATATCTGATGGACCTGATTGGCCGAAACTTAGTTATGGTAAGTGAAAACAGATCCATTGGTGGAGTCAAAACTTGTTACGTTCACGATTTGATATTTGAGTTCTGTAAAGGCGAGGCGAAAGAAAAGAAATTTCTTCAGGTCTTGCGAGGATATGATGAGCTTTCTACCTTTAATGAGCCTCCCAACCTACCTCGGTTGTCCATTTGCTCCAATGGAGAGGATTTTATAAAGTCAAAGCTCTTTTGTCCACATTTAGATACTCTGCTATTCCATGATGCTACTCTAGGAGATAAGTTTGAGTTGCGTGACATCTCCTTCCTTTTTTGCATCTACAAACATCTTAAAGTTTTGAATTTAGAGGGCATTATCCTAAGGCTGAAGGAGCTTCCAGCTGAAGTCGAATCACTTCTTTGTTTGAGGTACTTAGCCCTTAGAGCTCTGTTCATGGAATTCATTCCACCATCTATAGCCAAGCTCTCACATTTGGAAACCTTCAGTCTAAATTCTTTTGAGGCGGTTTCATTGCCAGATAGCATCTGGAACATGGAGAAGTTGAGGCATGTACATGTAAGGCCTGGCGTCGTTATTCCTCTCTCCTCCGATGACAGCGGTGTTGAAAACCTCTCTAATTTAGAGACACTCTCTGCTCTGTTTCTTTATCTTGACGAAGAGGGAGAGAACTTGTTGAGAAGGATTCCCAACGTTCGCCGACTTAAAATTTTCGATTTGGGGGAACAAAACAGAGTATGCTGCAACATGAGTCGACTAGCATGCCTAGAATCACTCGCCTGGTTGGGCAGTTACTCCTCAGGTTCATGGGAGCATGTTGAGCTTTCTTTTCCCATGAATTTGAAGAAGTTGAGCCTTAGCGGTCTGGCTCTTCCCTGTAGAAAAATGTCATTGATGGAACAACTACCCAATCTTGAAGTCCTCAAATTACGAGCCCAGTCGACGGAGGGCCAAAAATGGGAGCTGATGGAAGGAGGATTCCCTAAACTCAGGGTCTTGACTTTGGAATATGTACAGATTGTTGAGTGGACAGAGGCAGACCCTGACAGTGATGATTACTTCCCGTGCCTTCAGCAATTAAAACTCCGAAGCATTTCTAAATTGGAAATGATGCCTTCTTGTTTAGGGCGTATATCTACTCTTGAAACCATTAAAATGAATGGGTGTGGAGATGGCGTCAAGTCTTTGGTAAGGGAAATTGAAGAAGCACAGGAATATAATGGAAATGAGAACCTGAAGATCATCATCATAGATTGAGCTGGTGCAATGTCTGGTAATTTTTTTTTGTTGTTAGCATTAATTGGCTTGTAGAAATAATCATGCTTTTTTCATTTAAGGGAGCTTAATTTATATTGACATTTTGGTAGCTTTTTTGTACTACTTCAGTAGTACAAACAACTAATTATTGCTCTATTTTTTCTTGATGATATATCATCAGGGAGTGTGATTGTCATCTGTGTGGTCTGGCTTTCTTTGGTGCTTTTGTGGAAGATTGAGGTGAAAATTGAAAGGATCGATGGCTCTTTTCTTGTCAAAATATGGTGGAAACGACCAATGAGGTTTGTACGACCAATGTGTAATTTCGTTTTGCTGCATTTAGTGATGGTTGTGTACTATTTCTTTTCAAACATGTGACAATTTGCTGTTGGTGTATTTTGTTATCTTTTTTTTCCTATTTGAGGTTCAAACTTCATCATTTTGACAAAATTGATTAACAATTTATGTTTGAGATCAATCATTCTTGGAAGAATATGACAGCCCAACAGACTTGTGGTCTAGAAATTCATGTCGAAAGGAAACCTATATGATCATCTCTTTTCTGCTCAATATATGCTCAATCTTAGGTTTGGATTTAGGATATCCAACTTTGAGATTTGCTAAATTTTCAGAATCATATTTTACTTCTTCAAATTGGAGAATTTTTGCAAAGAATGAAGTATGAGACTTAATAAGTTCCTTTAAGAAGGATGTCTGCAACTTGGTTTTTCTGCTGCTTGAGCTAGTTGCTGGAAAGGGCATTAGTAAAATTATTGATTCTCCAAAGAGCTTTAAAGGTGATTTGTTTGTATGAATATTTAATTTTCCATTTTTGAATTCCTACCTAGGATATATAGAGCTAGGGATAAACTATCCAAATTAGAGAGAAAATGTGTATAAATTTTACAATTGTATAATGGGCCAATACCTTTATTTATAGGCTGTGACAAGCGAATCTAGACAACTAATACAATGAATTTTGGGCGAATTAACGTATAATCAAAAAGAAAAACAAAGAGATCTGGAGATTTTCATAGTTAAAAAAAAAAAAAAAGAGCAATTAACTGAATTCTTCGTGATGGAAGAACAAAAAAAAGGTAATCTATCTTTTTCTAAATACATGAATGAAATTTAATTGAATAAAACAGGAATGACATTTTGCCAGGCCTAAAACAAAAGAAACACATAATTGATTAAATATTGAAACTACCAAAACAAACAGGAAAAGGGGTTCAACAGCGTCCTAAAAAGTGGGCTCTGAGGGACAAAACGTAAGTCCATATACCCCTCTCAAGCTGAAAAGTAGACGCATCCCACATTCTGGACTCCCTCTCAGCTCAATCCACATGGTATGGATCTTATAAGGCCCAAATTTCAGGAAGTGTTTCGCATCTGCATTCATTCTGCTTTCTAGTTTCAACTATGATTTGTTCTGAATACTTGTGATAAATTGATGAGAATGGACTTCAGCTCGTAATCTATTTTCGCTTCTCTTTAGGGTAAATTCCCCTTCTATTTATTGCGAATCAATGGAAAATTTCTCTTTATTACTACTTGATAACACTTTGTGCTTAGTATATCAAGACTATTAATGAGTATGTTATATTTTTACAGAACTTCCGAAGGTTGAGATTATGATTTTTTACAGCAAATCATGTCACAATTAGTCTGTTATAGGTTAGGGATATTAACTGTCTTTTCAAGTCATGCCCCCCTTTCATCACACATGCTGGCGAATGCTTAGTTAACTTTAGGCAAATGAGAAAGTAAGGGTAACAACCCACCACCAAGCCCTTAAGGCTTTGGTGGGAAACCTTGCCTCTCACCAAAATGCCACTCTTGTGGCTCTACTTCAAATCCAGACGGGTGCATATTGCATCCGTCTGGTCCGGTGGTAGTTCTATCCCCATCGATTTCCCGTAGGTTCAGTTGAGCTTCCCTCTAATTAGAGTAGGAGTAGGAGTAGGAAATCCAGACGGGTGCATAGGGTCCGGTGGTGGTTCTATCCCCATCGGTCTCCCGTAGGCTCCTCTCTAGTGAGTTCTTTCTTCATTTCGTATAATGCATATTTAGATGTATGAAACACGTCTTCAATTACTAAGAAGGGACAAGGTCAATTTAAATTTAACTAATCCTAACTCTTGTTTATAAATGAAGATACGTGTCATACATCTAGATGGGTACTGCAGAAAATGGAGAGAGAATCAACTAGAGATGAGCCAAATCCCACTTTAGATTAGTTTTCAATTTTGGCGCTTGTTTTATTCTGTGGATCTTTACAATACAAAATATGATTACTCTTGGTCTGTGAGGGTATTACTATTATTTAGAGTGAAATTGCCCTGACAAGAACATAATTGTTTTGGCAATATAGCTAACCCTTTTCTATAATTTGCAACTAAGACGTACTATCGATAAGGTTTTGTTAAACAAATGATTTATATGTTTTTGTTGGAGGAGAAAATTGATAGCAATATGAAATTCCAATAATTAAATTTCTATTCTTTTTAATTAATTTTTAAAAAATTATCTTAGTACGTATCCCTAAAACAAATTCCCACTACGTAAATAGCACATTAGGACCCAATTGTAAAGGTTCAGAAGCAGTGAGCCCACCACTTTCGTATGCCTCCAAATACCCTTATTATAGTGGATGGATCACGGATGGCAATTTGATTAGGGGTGGTAATTTCCGACACGATCTGAAAATACGATACGAACTTAACACGAAATTAATGGGTTTAGGTTGAGGTTTTACGGGTTCGGGTCAGAATCGGGTTGAACCCGGTGAACCCGAAAAGAAAACGGGTCGAATTTGGGACAATCCGTGGGTGACCCGATAACCCGTTTACAAATTAAAAATAATTTAATAAACATAAAAATTATTTTATCTAACTAAACTAAGTTATTCTTTTTTTCCAAAGGCATTAATCACTTAATCCTAAATGAATTTATTTAACTTTTGTGAAGTTGAAATTATTATGTTTGGACAAATAATGTATTATATTATTTTTTACTTTTATACTGTTTTAATTTATTTTATATTTGATTTGGGATAAAACACTTTTATGGTATTTTAATTTATTTTAGATTTGGTTTGGGATTATTTATTTAAATTTTTATTATTTGATTATGCAATTAGTCTTGTGCAAAATTGGTTTTATTAGAAATTACAGTGGTAAATTAGTAAATTGAAATTAAGTTTCGGGTCATTCGCGTCGACCTACCAATCCGAAATTTTCGGGTTCGGATTAGGTATCCTGACCCGTTTCGAGTTGACAGGTCAAGTTCGGATCAGTGGATTTTCTGTTATACCCGGATCTTAACCCGACCGGCACAACCTGATTTGGATCCGATTGCCACCCCTACACGGTGGGTTCTAAGATAGGAACCAATTTTTAAATGTGGCTCGCCATGTGTCTGACATATGGCAGGTTCCTTTTATAAAAAGAAAATGGAACTAATAAACTGGTCCACTGCATGTCAGAAACACAATAGGCCTAGCTAGAAAAATGGAACTAAACTTTTCAAAAATATTTTTTGAACTTCTTTTTGGCAATATTTCAACAAATTTGCCCTAGGTTTGGTGTTGATTAGGTCCAGGTTGATTAATAACCTTGACTAAAATATGTGAACAATTAATATTCAAGAAAATATTCTACACAAAGAAATTGAAAACTAGTACATTTTATTTTTTTCCCTCATATATATCATGCATTTTTCATATTTGATTCACATAAAGTAATGGCATTACTTGCGATCCAAACCAATTTAAAGTAGTGACGGCTAGTTGAGATCAAATACAATTGTGTGATTAGAATTTTGTTTCGAATATTAATATGTTGTATAACCAACTAGAAAAATTCTGTAGCCATCTTAGAGTGTCATTCCTTCAATGTGCTTCTTCCAATGATGATAGTAACTGGTAATTTAAATTACTGGAATTGTAATGACCTAAATATTAAAAATAATATTTCACCATCCAACTATGAATTTAAATAACATTTGACCAAAAAGGGGTTATAAAATCTGACAACTATTTATCCTACTAATTCTACAGAACAATTGGTCACCGCCAAATTCTGAACTAGATTTGTGTTTTTTGTGACTTTTATATCTTTCTGTTTTCATCTTTTTTCTTTCTCTAAATGGGATGAATTAGATGTATGAGTAATATTCAAAAACATGATAGGAATACTGCTATTAATGGCAGAGTCTACTGGTTTCAGTTGATTTTTGTATTGCAAAATATCTTAAAAGAGTTATTGACAATTGAAAAGTGGACAATAAAACGGCGAAGAGTAATTTACATTTAAGTTTTTTTTTTTTTATAAAAAACAGATTTCATTAACGAATTGCTAAAAATCGGTCAGCATGATTTGATTTACATAGCTACCTTAATGGCAAATTTAATATGCACTAAAACTTGCATATTTGTAATTTAACAAATGCAATATATCTGAAAAATTATGAAAAGATATGAAAAATACAAGAAATTTTAAAATTGTCGCCCTTTCATGCATATTGCAATAGTCAGATTTGCTAATAAACGGTTTTAAACTCCAATAATGATGATAAGATCTATTGAAATAGATCCCAAATCCAAAAAATTTTTAGATCTGATAACCAGAATTGAAATAAATTCAAATCCAACATCAAAATAAAGAAACAATTCACAAAAATCTCCATAGGAGTTTGTTTCAAATGGATGGATGATGTAATGTTCAAATTGGAATTGGATGACGTAAGTGCAAAGGTGAGCCGTTTCCTTTTTTGTTTTTTGGGAATACATTCGATGTTTGATTTTCATTTAAGGCGGAAGATGACAACACAATTTTAAACTGAATTTGACCATTTGCTTGTATGTAAAGTTTTAACTTTTTAACTTAGCGAGGAGTGCTTAAAATCTTACCAAATATCAGTTGTTTTTTTTTCATCAGTTGTTTTTTTTTTTACCAAATATCAGTTGTTGTCGGTCCTTTAATTTAATTTAAGGAATAATTTCATAAATCTCCCCTGAAGTTTTTTGTCAGCATTACAAGCCTCCCCTGAAGTTCTAGAAATATCACATGCTTTAGACCTTTTCTTTCTGTAGCCTTGGGGTTGCTTTTGATGTAAACGTTCCGAGCATAAAATGTTTACTCATAATGCTTGTGTTTAGGGTTAATTACATTTACCTCCCCTAAGGTCTAGCCAAACTACCAGTCAAACCTTGAGGTTAAATCAAATAACAGTCTAATCCCTTGACTAAGCAAACGTTTATCAAAAACTTCCTTGCTGTCCTAAGACGTTATTCAAGGTATGATGTCAGCAACAAAACTATTATGAGAGGCCAAAAATGCCCTTATAATAACAAAACTATTACGCATGTGTCATCACTAATTTCTTTGACTTTTTCCTGAAGTAATAATAACATTTTTTTTCTTTTCTTTGTTTCCTAAAATATACTAAAAGAAATTGACTGCCCAAAAACCACAAAAGAAAAAGAAAAGAGTTGCAAATTTTTATGAAAAGTCAATTTCACTAGTTGTTACCCCATAGAAGAAAGATTCAAAATAACATAACAAT